AAGTTTTATAATAAATAGACGTCAAACCATCCGTACCCGGCGCCTTGCCTAATTTCAATTGCTTAATAGCTGTCACAACTTCCTCATTGGTAATTAAACCATTAATCTCTTTTTTCTGATCTTCTGTTAATTTAGGAAAATTAGCTTTACTTAAATAATTGCTTAAATCTGTAGTTTGTACATTAGTACTCTTATATAATTTTTGATAATAATCTAAAAAAGATTTCTTTATCAATTCTTTCTGATAAACCAATTTACCATTATAATTTATTTTATTTATAATTCTCTGTCTCTGTTTCTTTCTTAACTGATAAGCCAACCATCTCCCTGGTTTGTTAGCATTACAAAATGTATTTTGTTTCATGAACAATAAGTTGGTTGCAGCTTGATCAGCCATAAACATATTAAATTGTGTTTTTAACAATTCTATAGCTCCTTTAACCTTTTCATCTAAAGGATTTGAAATTAAAAGTTTCTCTTTTAATTTAATCTCATCTTCTAATTCTTTACGTTTCTGAGTCTGCTTCTGTCTATAAAAATTGTTCATATTTATCAAAATCCCACGCATAAAGGCTTTACTTGCATCCCATACCATTGACATTGATGTTCCCTTATTCATATTTAAAGCAAAATATTCCTTTAAACATTCCTTTAGTTTTTGAACATTTTTTTCTTGTTTAAATAAATTCTCATTCAACCTCCAGGATCTCATCTCTTCTTTCTCAGCGACCAATTCCATCCAGACTGGACTATGATCTGTCAATGTCCTAGGAAAGATTTTAATATTCTTTACCCTATTATATAAATCTGTTGTAATAAAAAAAAGTCAATCCTTGAAAAAAATTTGTGTCTATCTGAAAAAAAGGTAAAATCTCTTTCCTCTTGATTACGTTCACGCCAATAGTCTCTCAATTCCCAATCTTCTTTCAATTCAAAAAAGGCTTTAGGTAATTTAGCCTGTTTGAAAAAAATAGAAGAACCTTTTTTGTCCTTTTGTGTATCTAAAACACCATTCCAGTCTCCCATTAATATCACGGACCTATAGTCCAACAGAGTTATTTTCTGATGTAACAACTTATAAAATTGTTCCTGTTGCTGGTTTGGTGCATACAATCCCACAATAAGTATTTTCTTACCATATAAACCAAGTTCAACCATAACATATCTTCCTTGTGGATCTGATTCTACCAAACAAGCTGGTAAATTTTGCTTAACATAAATTACCACACCCCCTTTTTTCCCAGGGGCAGGAGATATAAAATGAGATCCCAAACGAAGGTTAGCTAAGTATTTTTGATCTTTAAGTAAAATATGAGTTTCCTGCAAACAAATAATGTCATTGTTGTGTTGCTTTAGATAATGAAAGATTTTCTTTCTCTTCTGGGGGATGTTTAAACCATTAACATTCCAGGTCAGGAACTTTGCCATCTCCCTCAACCAGGAGCCTGGAGAAGATTCCCTCAAGATCTGCTACTGAAGAATGTGTTGCAGAACTTTTGGGTCTTGCTCCTCCCACCGGCATTGAAACAATCTGATGAGCAGATTCTTTAGCTTCTTTCTTCTGTTGCTCCTTTTCCTTACGTTTATATGCTGCACGGGTCATTCTCTGTTCTTTAACCTCTGCTTGATGCATCCATTCCACCTGCCCAGCAGCCATCAAGCCTGATCCCTCAGACTGCTGTTCCTCCTCTTTATCACTCAAGGCTTTCTGAATAAATGAAGATGAGCCTGCACCCAGGACCGTGTTATAAAATTCTTTAGCTTTAGCAACTGTGTTAAGTCTATAACATGTCCCCGCATGGCTCAAAACAATACCCATCGGAATCTCCCATCTAAATGAAATCAATCTTGCTTTGAGTTCATTTGCTAAAAAAGCAAAATCTTTTCTGCTTCTTAAGATTTTGGATGGGATTTCCTTTAAAATAATAATATCTTGAGCAGTAATCTGGAATCTTTTGTTATAAAAAGCTTGTAAAATCTGATTACGCAGAGGCTTCTTAGCAAAGTAGATCACCACATCTCTAGGCAAATTCTTCTGTTTCGCAATCCAAGAATTAACTCTGTAGATTTTTTCCACTTCTCCACATAATTCATCTTTGTCTATATTCAGAACAACAGCCAAATCATTAATCACCATTTCCATCAGATCTTGATTCTTATCTTCTTTAAGGCCTCTGATTCTCAAAGCATGTTCCATCTGTCTGTACTGAAACATAAGGATATCATCTTGTGAGGTTTCCACTTTTTTTTCCATATCTTGAAATTTATAATCCAAAAATTCTACTTTTTCTTCAACTTCTTCCACTCTGGAGTCCAGCTTCACAACCACAGAAGCCAATCCAGATAAAGCTGAGACTATGTCTTCCCTCAAAATAGTATTATTCTGTACAAACAGCTCCTTCATTTCCTTCTTCAATTCTTCCTTAGTTTCAGATTTGCTCTGTTCCAGAAGTTGCTTCACTTCCTCCCTAAATTGAGACACAGCCTTTCCCATTATATCTTTTAAATCTTGTGCAGATGTGCCTGATGGGGGAGGAGAAGGTGGAGATATAGCATTAGGTTGTTGCACCGGTGGTGTTACTTTAAGTTGTTGTTGAACAGTTGCAGTAACAGGAGAAGAAATCACATTAGAAACTATAGAAACTGGTTGTCTCTTTGAAGGCATTTTAAAGTATCTTTCTTTCTTCTTAAAAAAGGGAAAAAAAGTACTTAAATCCTTACAAATAAAAAGACCAGGAAAAATACAATAAAAATAAAAACTCCCAAGGCAGTTTAAAAGAAGAAAAAAGACTTAAGAAAAAAAACAATGTTAAGCATACAGTTCAATCAGTCCGTCTTTTCTTTCCCGAGATAGGAAAAAAAAACTTTCAAAACGCCATTTTACTTTCACTCTCACTTTCCGCCCCAAAAAAAAGAAAGTGAAAAAAAAATCAGCTTAAACTAAAAAGAAAAAATTAAAGAAAATAAATCTCTAACTCTAAGTAAAATCCTTTAAACAGTTCTGTCCGCTTTAAAAGTCACTCACCAAGCAGCTTTGAGTGCGGAGATGGTAGCGGTGTTTTGCTTTGCTTCCGAAGAAGCAAAGACAGCTGAGAGGCGGAGAAGGCAATGAACTCCGAGGGAGCACTCTTTCTACCCCCCTAAAAAAAAATCCAGGGAAGGTTAAGAGGTTCTACCTCTATTCATGCAGTCTCTACCCCTTCCCTTCGCCCGGGAAGGGGATTTCGAACCGCGAGCCAGCTGATGAACGCTGTGCTCCGCAGATCTGACACCGTCTCAGAAGGACGGCTACAAAGTAGCCGCCATCATCGCCGCTTTAACCACCGGAAGTCTCTCATCTGTTGCTTCTTGTCCTGCCTTCAGGTGCTTTGGAAAATAGCTTGACTCCCTCTTCTTTGTAGCAGCCCCTGAGATATGGAACACTGCTATCATGTCCCCCCTCATTCTTCTCTTTTCTTGTGTCTGACACTTCATGACCCCATCGACCATAGCATGCCAGGCTTTCCTGTTCTCTATTGTCTTCTGGAATTCATCTAAATCCATGTTCATTGCATCAATGACATTAACTAACCATCTCATCCTCTATAACAATTCACCATGGCCAACTTGTCACAGCCAACTTGCCAAAGGACAACTTACCACAGGACAACTTGTTGCTGGACAAAAAATATACTAATAACAAAGAAATGGTGGAATGGAATCATTAAGGAAAAGATCTAAAAGGAGGGACAGAATGCAATGTGATCGACAAAAATTTAAATATTTTTTTATTTATTTTAAATAATTAAACAGAATTATTAAATTTTTCTGCAGTGAGTTGTCCCATAACAAGTTGCCTATGGCGAGTTGTCCAATGCCACAATGAGTTTGCTGTGGCAAGTTGTCCCATTCCCCTCATCCTTTGCTGTCCCTTTCTCCTTTTGCCTTTAACCATTCCCAGCAACACGGTCTTTTCCAAAGAGTTTTCTCTTCTCATCTTTAGTTGCATATGAATAGCAATGTCCACAAAGAGAATCAAAATTAGCAGGATGATGGATAGAGTATTATGAAACAAACCGTGACCTCTTTTGTACATGTGCTGATAACATGTTCAGAGGAAGCAGAACACAAGGATCTCTCTGTCATTATACCACTTTTGATATCCATCCCCTCCCCAACCCAGAATCTTAGTTCATCTTCTTCTAAGTTACCATGTTATACAACTAGTTCCTTAGCATTCAGATTCTTTTTATTTCTGTAGAGAAATAGGGTTTAATCGTTTCCTAATCACAGCATAATTTCTTAGGTTACATTTCTTTTGGAGATCTTGAGCCTAACTATGAAAATTTACACCCACTTATCTGAAGGGCAGAATATTTTTTTTGGGGGGGGGGAATTTCTGGTTTAAACATTTTGATGCAGCTACAAGACAAATACTGCAACTTGAATCAGCAGTAGCCCTTTACAGCAATATCTGGATTTTGACTCAATTTAATATAACATTATTACTTGTTATCTGTATTGAGTGCCTGGTAAGAAAAAGAATCCAATGAAATATCTAATGAGGAAGTTGGTCACCTTGAATAAATTTCTGAGAAAGTGCTCCTATATGAAGAACAAATTTACAGCAGCTGCCAAGTTACATATTCTACGTAGACATCGGAAGCTGATAACCTCCGGGATACCTTTGGAGAACATAAAAACATGGTACTTTCCAAGTGCATTTAGAAGGAAAATGGCCTCAACCATAGCATTCTTTTGTTCTGAACTCTTTGTCAATTGCTCATTGCAAAAGGTAAGGGAAATATGTCAAATATTTTGGGTTGATTCATTTCACCTGAGACAGTATATCACTGATCTTTGCTTTAGAAGACAAATTTTCAGAAAATATTAATTTAGAAAATGTATATGCTGTTTGGATCAATTGCATGGCTTGTTTCCTGATTCCAAAGCAAGGGAATGAACAAATGCTTAGCAGGGAGTTTTTTCAGTTCTGATCTTGTTTTCTTTTTCCATTTTAGCTCCTCATTCCTGTGTCTTCCCATTTATTTACCAAGGAAAATCCTATTCTTCTTGCACTGAAGTTGATAGTCTGAACCACTCATGGTGTGCCACAACTTCAAACTATGATAAATCTCCTCAATGGAAGTATTGTGCTATTAAAAGTTTGACATATTTATATTTCTGGGTTACGAGAGAGAGAGAGAGAGAGAGAGAGAGAGAGAGAGAGAGAGAGAGAGAGAGAGAGAGAGAGAGTGCAGTTTGTCCAGTTCAGCATCAATCTTGGCCTTGAGGGCAAAAGGTCCCCTCCTTGGCTTAACCCTGATGGGGGTGATTGTTGGGTCTAACCTTAATGAGACTAGAGGCCCCTTGAAGGATCCAAGCTCTGGACTAAACACATCTGCAAACTCCTTGCAGACTTCTGCCAGGCATGACATTTGCAAACTGTGCAGCCCAGTGATTTGGATGCCCAGAGCCTCGAACCAATCGAGTCAAATAAGGCTCATGTGTTACCCCCCCACTACCAACACAACTAAAGGACCTTCAAAATCCTTATACTGCACGTTAAGGGTGGCCTCCCCCTTAACATACACTTTAGAATTTTGAAAGTCTGTGAGAATTATGTTTGAGGGTCTTAGTTCGGCTCAAATGCCACTACTGTTGCAAATTTTCCTGAATGTATTGTTAGAAATAATAGAGAGAGCGGACCCTGTGTCCAACTCCATAACTATAGGAACCCCTTGCAAACTTACTTTTAAAGACAGTTTTTTCTTTAGGGTTTATGTGTTCCTGTCCTTAAAATACTCCTGTGTGATGCGCAGAAACCCACCCTGTTTTGGCTGGGGACTCTGGTATCTTTCAGACGCAATGTCAAACTCAGAAATACGCCCAATCTTTGCCATTTTCTCTCTACTCTTTCTAATGTGGGGGGGAAAAAGGGTTATTCAGCTGGGCTCACCCTTCAGCGATGCTGTGCTGGTAGGCCTGAGACGTGCTTCCAACGCCGACTTCCCTCTTCTTTAGGACTTCTTGTGGGTGATTAAAGCTTGTATGTTTGAAGCTCTTCTGATCCCACCTTCGTCGCCAGTGTTAAGTCCCTTGCGAAATCAGAGGCCTGGAGACTCATTCTGCAACAACTCAGTTCTTTATTCTCTTCAACAGCAAAACCCAACAGACGCTAAGAGGCTTGCAGGCCTCTTAAGTATACCTGGATCCCCAGGCAAAACCACAACAGCTGATTGGCGCGTTTTTGCGCCTTGCGCATGCGCGCAAGGCTGGCACTGCGCTGTCTGGTCCCGGGCAGCTTGCTGCAGCCCCAAAACCATAGCAATGTCCCGAGCCTGCTTCTGCAGGCTCAGGACATAACACCAAAGGTTTCACATATTTACATTTCTGGGTTACATTATTCAGTAGGGTTAGGAGAAGCAACAATTGTTATTTCTGAAACAGTTAACTGATTCCCATTCCTGATTCCAGAGCAAGGGAATGAACAAATGCTTAGCAGGGAGAATTTTCAGTTCTGATCTTTTCTTCTTTTTCCATTTTAGTTCCTCGTCCCTGTGTGTTTCCATTTATTTACCAAGGAAAATCCTATTCTTCTTGCATTGAAGTTGATAGTCTGAACCACCCATGGTGTGCCACAACTGCAAACTATGATAAATCTCCTCAATGGAAGTATTGTGACACCAAAGGTTTGACATATTTACATTTCTGGGTTACATTATTCAGTAGGGTTAGGAGAAGCAACAATTGTTATTTCTGAAACAGTTAACTGATTCCCATTATAAAGTTTATGAGACTAATCTGATATAGAATTAAGACAGGCATTGCAGAGTGTTTGCATGCACCTTTAGTGAGCTTCCCAAACTTTACATTATAATTACTGATAAACTAATGAAACTACTAGAAGATTTTTTTCATGATGTCTTCTTAGCATTTACAGTCAGCACCTTAAAATGACATATACAGAGGCTTCAGTGTACATTGAATGCATTGATATTTTACTTTTCTGGAAAGGAAGAAAAGTGTCTTACTGTTATGAAATTAAAATCTAAAGTTAAGTGATGTAAAATATTGCTAAGACAATTTATATGTTTTAATGTTTTCCCTGTATTTAGAATATGGAGGTTGTTAGAGAATTTTAAATTCTCTATTGGTGAAAAATAAATCAGAAGCTCTCACAGTTGACGGCATTTTGCTGATTCAAATAACTTTATATTTATATAAAAATATTTACAATACCATTCTTCTTTACATCAACATAGCTTAATGAAGACTTCTTACAGAGAAAGACCAAAGACAAACCTTGAGACTGGAAATCCAGCTCCTAACTCAATACTCTTTTTGCACAGACTCAGTAGCCCTTTCTTCTCATTGGCTGACTGAGTTACCACATGACTCTTCCTGTTCATGAATATTCCAACCCTACTCCCTTCATGACAGGAAGAGACATCAGACCTATTGACTTAACACATTTTCCATAGTGAATACCACCCAATGGTTTATTCATCATGTCTGCCAAATTATCTTCAGAAGAACAATGATGTAAACTAATCAATTTTTCTTTTATAGCTTCCCTGACATTACAATGCTTAATGTCTATATGTTTACTTCTGTTCTTCACCCTGTCACGAGTTGCCATTTTTATACAGGCAGCATTGTCTTCAAATACCTTTACAGATTCTTTTACATTAATATTTAAATCTTGCAACAACTTCAGAACACAATTCAGATAAAGCAATAAACTCTGCTTCCGCTGTTGAAATAGCAACAGTTGTTTGTTTTCTGGACTTCCATCCAATCAGAGTCCCTCCAAACAATATTATAATCCCAGAATTTGATTTCCTTGTGTTTATGTCATTTGCATAGTCACTATCGACATAACACTTTAATTTCAATTCCTCAGTAATCTGTATTTGAAGACCCAAATTTATAGTTCCCTTTAAATATCTGAGAACACTTTTTACACCCATCCAATGTAACTTTGTAGGTGCAGCAGTAAAACAACTCAAAATGCTTACTGCGCAAGCTATGTCTGGTCTGGACCACTGTGATAGATATAACAAACTCCCTATTGCTGAGTGATATATCTCTTGATCACAGGTTTCACCTTTGTCCACACTTAAACTGTTATAAAAATCCGCACTCATGGGTGTGGGAGCAGTATTGCAATCCTTCATATTATATTTCTTCAATAACTGCTCAATTTTTCTCCTTTGACTGAAAATATAACTACCTTTTTCATTTTTCTGTATCTCTACACCAAGATAATTTTTTATTTCTCCCAAATTCTTTAATTCAAATTTCTTTCCTAATTTATCAGCAAATTCTTTAACTTGTGATGCATCCTTTGTGATGAAGCAAAGATCATCCACAAATGATAACAGTAGACAATTCCCTCCTTGTAACTGTCCAGTATATATACAATTATCAGCTTTGCAACTTTTAAATCCAAGATCCTTTAAAGCAGTATCTAAACAGATATTCCAGTTTCTGGCTGACTGCTTCAGCCCATAAGTAGCCTTGTTTAATTTATATACCATGTTAGTTTTTGCAATTTCATATCCTGGTGCTTGGATCATATAAATTTCTTCCTCTAACTCAGCATGGAGGAATGCAGTTGTGATATCAAAGTGCCAGATTTTATGCTTATATGCCGCTGTCAACGCCAGTGCTAATCTTATACTCTCACTTTTCACAGTTGGCGCAAATACTTCATCATAGTGCACATTCTTTAATTGTGAAAAACCTTGTGCCACTAACCTGGCCTTATACTGTATATCATTATTTGGCAATACCTTTTTCTTATATACCCACTTACAACCCACAGCTTTGGTTCCCTGTGGCAAAGTCACTGATTTAAATACTTCATGGTCTCCCATGGATTTCATCTCTTTATCCATGGCCTCCTTCCATCTTTCTTGTTCAGCTTTTGGTAATGCCAACACCTCTTTATAACTTCTTGGCTCATACCACACATTGCAAACCTTTACCTTGCTAGCAGAATATCTATCAGGCGGAATTCCTTTGTTACATTGCTCTGACCTATGTAGTATTAACTGCTCCTGTGTCTCAAGTCCTTCTGGCTTCATGTCTTGTTCAGCCTCTCCTCCCTGAACATGGACATCTTCAATAATGATTTTTTCATCATTAGATGAGTTATTGTCATTAAACAGATCATCGTCATTAAGTGAGACATACCCAGAATTTGCATTAATTCTGTCCTAATTTTGTTCTGCAAAATTAGCAGACCTTGAAATTATAATTCTTTTACTTCCATCACTAAAGTGATATCCTTTTGACCCTGGCTGATAGCCCACAAACCTGAGCTTTCTTGCCTTTTGCTGTCCTTTTCTTCTGATTGCTTTTGGAATATGTACCCATGCAGTACTTCCAAAAATTCTCAAATGTGCCAGTGATGGCTTTCTCCCATATAGAATGGCATATGGAGTATTATTAAGGGAGGAATTCCACAGCCTGTTAACTATATAATTGGCAGTCAATATGGCTTTTCCCCAATATGACCTGCTGAAACCAGAATCCTCCAATAATGAATCTTTCATTGTTTGCAAAACACCATTCCTTCTTTCAGCTACACCATTCTCTGCTGCTGTGTAAGGATTTGTACGTCTGTGTCTTATCCCCAACTGCCCCAACCATTGTTGGAATTTAGTAAATTCAGTACCTCTGTCAGTTTGCAACTGACACACTTGTTGTCTGTATCTTCTCTCTACAAAACTTACCCACTGTTTGAATTGTTGTAGCACCTCTGTCTTTGCTCTAAGCAAGTAGCAAAACGAATACCTGCTATAGTCATCAACAATTACCAGTGCATATTTTGCTCCTCCCAAACTGGCTTGCATAGGTCCCACCAGATCTGCATGGACTAGCTCTAGAACTCTTTTTGTTTGTCTTGTGCTACATTTACTAACTGGGAATGCCTTTGACTTCGATGCTTTGCATACTGCACAGTCCAAATATGTTTTGCATCCCTTCAAATTTAGCCCTTCTGCAAAATCTTGCATTTGCTGCAAAACTTTAAAGCTTGCATGGCCAAGTCTTCTATGCAGAAGATGAACACATGAATCATGCTCTGCAACATTCTTAAATATATGGGAACATTGAACCTTTTGTCCCTGCAATACATATAGATTATCTTCCTTTATGCCTTCTGCACAAATATTCCCATTCCTTTTGATGAGACATTTCCCATTTACAAAAATGACCTCAAAACCTTGTTTGTCTAAATTAGACACACTTAACAAATTATGTTCCATCTCAGGTACACAAAGCACATTGATAAACTTTGATTCCAAATATGGAATTTTTACATCGCCTCTTCCAATGACTTTTGCTTTCTGGCCATTTGCCAAAGCCACAGCTTCTTGTGCTACTGGAACAAACCTGCAAAATAATTCAGAGTCATTAACAATTGTTTCACTTGCCCCACTATTTATTAGCCACTTGTCTCTGTTGTTGCTATAGCAAACTTTTGCAACACCAAAATGTTCCTTTTGCAAAGCAGTCCTTTTTCAAAGCAGTCCTTTTTCCTTGCACAAATATCTTTTTCTGCAAATTGTTTCTCTGCAAACAGTTCCTTTGCAAATGTGTCTTTTCTCCACAAATGTAGCAAGTCTTTTCCCGCCGAGCAGCAAAATCTCTCCTTTGTTGCAATTTGGTCCGGGTTTGATCTGATTGTTTCTTCTCTGGAGACTTGCAGTCTGGACCCCCTCCTCAGGAATTTCTCCTCCTCATGGCTGTTTCTAAAATGGTGTTTTTCTTCTTCATTAAGCAAACATGCCTTTAAAGCCTCAAAATTTAAGTCTTGCTCTTCTTTGCACTCAAATATTGCAGAAACTATGTTCCAGGTTTTATCTAAACTGTTCAACACCAATAAAACCTTCTGGAACTCAGGGAATTTAATCCCACGTTGTTCTAAGTCCAAAAATAAACTTTGCATTTTATTTAAATGCTGTTCCACAGATTCACCTGGTTGCAAACAGGCTCTGTAAAGTTTTCTTGACAATTGCACTATGTTGCAAGCAGAAACATTCATGTGCACAGCTCTCAATTTCAATCAAATCTCCTTTGCAGTCTTTAAATTTGCAACATTTAGAAATTGTGCATCATCTAAATTCAAGATGAGATAAGTCATTGCTTGATCATGGCTTTTCTGATCTGCAGCTGCAAATACTTGTGGTGGATTTTCAACAATATACCACAGCTCTTTTGCTTTCAGCAAACATTCCATTTTTGCAGCCCATATAATGTAATTCTTCTGGCCCAAACGAGGCACACAACTTTCCTTAAATTTCATTGCAGCCATTCTGCTAATTCTGCTTTGTTCTTATACTTTCTAAACACAGGCAATTTCTTCCAGCTTTAAATTACAATGCAGTCCTTAGTAAACTCTGGGCCCATAACCTGTTAGAGAATTTTAAATTCTCTATTGGTGAAAAATAAATCAGAAGCTCTCACAGTTGACTGCATTTAGCTGATTCAAATAACTTTATATTTATATAAAATATTTACAATACCATTCTTCTTTACATCAACATAGCTTAATGAAGACTTCTTACAGAGACAGACCAAAGACAAACCTTGAGATTGGAAATCCAGCTCCTAACTCAATACTCTTTTTGCACAGACTCAGTAGCCCTTTCTTCTCATTGGATGACTGAGTTATCACATGACTCTTCCTGTTCATGAATATTCCAACAGAGGTAATTCTCGAGGACAATCTTGTGTTTTCCCCTTTAAGTACAAAGACAGTGTGTTTTACTCTTGCATCAATAAAGAGGAAAAAAGGGGAAGATTTTGGTGTGCAACAATGAATTATGATAAAGATAAGCGATGGAGCTACTGTGCTGATACCAGTAAGATAACTGTGTGATGTTAGCTTATTTGTTATTATTGGCATGGCTAGGCTATCTGAAGAAGGAAACTTTTTAATTCATAAGAAAAAACATAAACAAAGGAAAATTGAGTTATATTAGTGTCTCAGACCTGAATGGTCCTAGATTACAGAATAGGTGCATAAGTAGATGGGGCAAGAGAGAGAGAGAGAGAGAGAGAGAGAGAGAGAGAGAGAGAGAGAGAGAGAGAGAGAGAGAGGGAGGGAGGGAGGGAGGGAGGGAGAGAGAGAGAGAGAGAGAGAGAGAGAGGGAGAGAGAGAGAGATGTGTATCCTCATGTTCTCCACAGATTGATCAAAATAGTTCTGGTCACAATAGCTATGAAAAGAAAATAGCTCAAGAATGTTAGCAAAGTCACTTGATAATTTAACAAAGCAATTATGAGAATAATCTATACATTGAGACATTTGAATTAGTGTATACTCAAATCAGTTAACCCAGCATCTCTATCAGTGTAGCAATTTCTACTGCTCTGTAGCCTAAGAAAGCAGGGGAGAGTGCAGATTCTTTGTAAATGGGTCATTACTGATAGGAGCATATAAGAACTAGTAATAAGAAATGCTCTTAAATGAAGAAATGCTGTTTCTTTTTTACTTTGGAAACTGCTAAACTGTATGTATCTACCATTTGTATATTAAAAAATTGACCATCTACCATTCCTTCTAGGACCAGGTTCATATAAACCAGTGTGGCCTGTCAGACAACAGATATGATTCCTCAGGTAGGACAAAAAATAAATAAATAAGGAAGAAGGAAATGCTTTAGAGGCTTTAGGTTGGGTGGCTGTGGAAGTTTCTCAGATGTTTTTATATTTATATTTTGTATTACAACATATCTAATGTTGTCCCACAATTTTTTCTTGCGTAAGATGGACAGGTGCTGCTGCTTGGCAAGGCTCATGTAAATTTCTAGTTCCCATTTTGGAGACACCAAAATTTTCAACCTTTTCACGGATTGTACCACTTTTAGGACATGACAATATTCGAGTACCACCAGTGCTTAGCAAGATGTCAAAAACTTGATGACTAAAAAAAAAAGGGGAGGGGGAATTTTGGGCTTTACTGGTTAAATTTGTTTGTTGTTATAAAAATGGCTAGTTATAATATTATTGAAAAATAAAAAGTTGAGGTTCAATATTAATGCTTCCTCCTACTGCAATAGAGGAAGTCAGAAGTCAATGCCTTTTCTTTTCCCCTTCTCCCCTTCACTGTCCCCCTTTTCTCTCACCTTTTGCTCCCAAAAGTCCCCCCCTCTGTCTCTTGCCCTTTGCTGGCAAAGCCCCTCTCTCGCTCTTTCACTCACTCACACTTTGCTTGCAAGAGCTGCTCTCTCTCTTGCACACGCTTTCAGCATTTTTATCCGTTCTGAATGAATTGGGTATGATTTTTGTTCCTGCCAAATAAAACAGACCACAAAAAGTCTTTAAAATGTTTTAAAGTTATCATAACTTCCTATAAGTAGAAATCTTGAACTCTCCTGAACTTTATGATATAACTGTATTGTTTTCTTTTTCCCCTCAGATTACCAAAACCAATGCTTTGATTCCAGGGATGATACTTTTCCTGTCAAAGTTATGATATATGCCATCTGTCACGTTATCTTCATAAACATTATTAGTCTAGGCTTACTACCAGTAGAATCTATCAGACTTTGCATTACTTAAGAAATTATTTTATTACCAGATGTGACCAGCTTCTAAACTCCACATGTTTGCTGTATAATTTTTAGCAGCTTCCAGAGAACCTTCTTCTGTGCCATCAAACTTGGGAAGAAATCCATGAAGCCTCTGCCATTTTATTATTAGTTTAAAATTCTTATCTTCAGAGTATTATAGGCTGAAAGGTTTAAGCTATAGCTTTTTAACCAATTTGCCATACAATATTTTAAAAACTGTTAAAATGTTTTTTATGTCACTTTATTCATTGTAGCATTCAACACTGGAAGGTTTAGCAGAAGGAAAGCTTCCTCACCTTCAGAATACTTTATAGCCTATGTTTAAGCCACTGATTGATCAATCAATCTGAATGTCCATTTTTTAAACTGCCATTTGTCCATTCTTATGCAAATATATGTGATTATGGTGGAAATTTTGCTTTGAATTGCTGGACTTTTCGTGATCATTTCTAAACTGCTGATTCTTTGTAATAAATATTCCAAGCATCAAACTGGAGCACATTCTTTTTCATTGCCTGGATTCCATTCTCAAGATTCAGCCTTAAGGCAGATTGCCTTTGCTCACCTTCTAGCTGCACCTCCTATCAGCTGGGCCTGCCTGTCACTAGCTGCAAGGAAAAGGAAAGGCATGGTGGGAGGTAGGGCAGACCTCTCTGGAGTGGTATGGAAAGAGATAGGTACACGCACTGATGGTTGTAGCCATCCAAACCATTCAACCCACAGCAAGTTTTCACATGTCAGTGAACCTAGCTGTCCAAGGCCCCTTATAGTCTACAATACTGCTGGTGGGGAGTTGCAGTGCTCCTTCAGTCATAAGGGTATGGAAGCCAAGAAAGCTCTTAACTTGGCATACAAGGAGTACAAAAGTGAGACTGGATATGGCAATAAAGCAATTCTTAAACAGTTACTTACATTCAAAAAACAATTCAAGCAATTGATTGCATTCAAGAAGAGACAAGACACAAGATCTTCTTGGGAACAGCTCATCGTGGCAGCAAAGAAAAAGAACTCCTCCTTATTTTGGCGTCTAATAGCTTGCCACTCTGAAAGAACCTATATCCCATTAGACTGTCATATATCTCCTATAACCTGGGAACTTCATTTTCGGAGAATGTATGAAGACCCCTCTAGCGAGAGTACAAGGTCTATAGTGAATGATTTACCTGAGTGGCCTCCAGTTTCAGAGTCTGAAATTAAATCCCCCATTGGCCAACTGAGGATCGGGAAAGCTCCAGGAGCTGACTTCATTTCGGCCGAATTACTAAAGAATAATATGGAGTGGTGGATACCCATCCTGGTAGTGCTGTTCACCCATATTGACTCCACCGGCCATGTCCCAGAGGATTGGGACTTGGCAATTGTGGTCCCAATTTATAAAAAGGGAAAGAGAGGCGGCCCTGCCGATTACAGACCAACAAGTCTGCTAAATATAATCAGCAAACTCTATGCCAAATACCTTCAAGATAAATTAAAGGAGTGGCTGGCTCTTGAGAACCTGATTGCCGAAGAACAAGCTGGGTTTAGGGAGGGGAGAGGCACCATAGATCAGTGCTTAGTTCTTCATCATTTGATTGAAAAATGTGCATTAGATAGACCTGTATCATTATATGCTGCCTTTATAGATCTTAAGTCAGCTTTTGACACGGTTACAAGGACTAAGCCAGTGATGGTGAACCTTTTAGAGACCGAGTGCCCAAAACCTGCCCGTCCACCCCCACTCTGCCTCCTGCCCTGGCTGCTCTACCCCCACCTATCCCCTACCCCACCTGTATGCAGGGCCAGCCAGTGCTTCCATGGCCCACCGCAGATCGTCAAGGCAGCCCTGCAGCACTCCCACCCTGTAAAAAGGCCAAATGCACCCTGCAAAAAGGCCAAAATGGTACTCATGGTATTTAAATAGCCACAAAATAGAGCAGGTAACCATCTTTAAATACCTAGGGGTGGTCATCCATGCCACTGGCTCGCAAAAAGCCCATGGAGAATACGCGGCTGAAGATAAATTCTCCTCTTCATGGATCAAGGCAGTTGAGTCCAACCTTGCCAAACTAGGCTTCTTGTCAGCCTCAATTCTCAAATTGGACTATGACCAAGTAAAGCAAATCTTGCATCAAAGGGTAGAGGACATTGAGAGGCAAACGGACTTAGGTATAGCTCTGCTGTTTCTCTCTCCAAACTTTATTAGATACGTGGTTACACCTGCCAGGTGTCTTAGTCAGTTGGAGTCAGTAAATCACTGAAAGCATTCTCGCTTGCACAGTGCCATGTGTTTCCATCGGCCGTCGTGTATGGCAAGTATAAAAAGACTCCATTGGCAGAAAGACTCTGCTCCTGTGGCTCAGGAGAGGTGGAGTCCATTGGACAGATACTCCTTCGATGTTCCTTCTATAAAGCTATCTGGAAAAACCATATCCTCCCCATAATGGATAGGTATCCTGGTCGTTCGGAAAGTATTTATCTCCAGTGGCTGCTTAAGTACAAGCAGGCAGTGATCACGGCGCAGGTGGCTAGATTCTGTGCAATAGCACTGGGGTTTCACCAGAAATATAAATAAACATTTTAGATCTTTTTAATAATCTTTTATAATCAATTTTATTGCGTGTTTTTATCCAGCATAATACACTCATTCTTGTTCTTAACTGTGAAATAAGCAAGAAGTCCTAAGTTGTAAGTTTGTCATCTTTTCTTCCACTTTTCAGTGAAAAGTTTTCTTTTAAATTTCAAAACGCTCCTTATGTTTAATGTCATATAGCTGCATGGGTCGAACAATTACTGCTTTTTAGTGGCTGCATTTCAACTGATATAATCAGGGCTTTTTTTTTTGTCATAGAATGCCCAGAATGGAGTTCTGGCATGTTTTTGGGATGGAATCTTGTAGGGTAGACAAGGCAGGTTGTATGACATGTGTGAGTTCCAGCATTTTTTCTTTTTTTTTTTTTTTTTACAAAAAAAGCACTGGATATAATGGTATGGAGTTGAGTTAGAAACTGAGGGAAACAGTTCAAGGGAAAATGATGTTTTAAAAATAAACAGGATGAGTGCACTAAAACCAAAGAACAAACTCTGACTTTCTGCCGAAACGACAACATGCCCATATATGGTAGTATGTTGGATGTTGAGGTAACCTGAGTAGACAAGGATGGAGATAATGTATTCCAGTTAGACGCTTCTGATAGATTGTGACCTCTCTGGGCCTTTCCAGCGGGACCAAAGGAGAAGGGAAATAGGCGTTGCTATAGGATGTATAAAAATGGCTGCTCCATGTGGCTCGCGTGTGGTCCATTGCTTGAGAACTTCCTGCGTGAAGTCTTGACTCAGATCCACAGTGCTTACCACTTCAACAACATACATATTATAAAAATATTATTTGTGAAACTGACAAACTATTCCTCATTTTGCAACATTCTGAGGCAGTGAAGAAATTACTTTTGGTGAAAACTCTGCTCCATTCTATAGGTCACCAAGTCTGATTTTCCCAATCAACCAAGAAGCTGGCAACCTCTTCAAATGATCTCCATCTTTATTTCCATTTTTAATTGTTATTGTTCAGTCACTAAGTTGTGTCTGACTCTTTGTGACCCGATGGACCATAGCATGCTAAGTCTCCTGTCTTTCAGATTTTGCCTAAATTCATGCTCATTCTGTCTGTCTGTCTGTCTGTCTGTCTGTCTGTCTGTCTGTCTGTCTGTCTGTCTGTCTGTCTATCTATCTATCTATCTATCTATCTATCTATCTATCTATCTATCTATCTAATCCTCTGCTGTCCCTTCTCCTCCTTCAACCTTTTCCAACATCAGGGTCTTTTCCAAGGAATCTTCTCTTCTGTTGTTTATTTGCATATGAACAGGGTCAAAATTAGCAAATGGTGTATCGAGTACTGCAAAACAAACCCTGACTTCTTTTGTACATATGCATGTTATCATGTGTATGTTTAGAGGAAGCAGAACATAATAATTTATCTATTTTATCAATTTTGATATCCATTCATTCCCTTCCCAAGAAGAATTTTATTTCTTCTTCTTCTCACTACGTTCTTATACAACCATTTCTATTGAATTCAAATTTTACATATTGTTCCTGAAAATCCTGTTTTGATTGTAGAGGATTTAATTATTTCCCAACTACATTGCAATTTTCTGGGTTACACTTCTTTTATAGACTTTGACTCCAACTTTGGAAATTTAATACAAAATATGTATAGGGTACCAGGTTAGGAAGACTCTGGTTTAAAACTTTTTATGTAGCAGCAAGATAATACCATGAGTCAGAAGTTGCTTCTTCAGAGCAATATCTAGATTGTGACTCAATTTAATGGGTTGACATTGATATTTAATTGTTATTTAGTTTTTGTTCTTAGCCTTGCCTATCTGTGAGAAAATAAAACAGTTTAATATCTAATGAGGAAATTTGCACTGCAAATCACCTTGAATAAATATGGGAGGAATGCCTCTTGTTTGAAAAAAAATATAGTTGCCAAACATATATTTTGTTCCTGATGATTGCATAGATGTCAGAAATGGATGATCACTGGGATGCCTTAATGGAGCATATACAAAGATGATATTTAGTGCATTTAGAGAGAAAATGGTTGCCAAGTGCCCAAATAGTGGTCAGGCGACTAGGGAGGTGCTGTAATAGCTTTAAGTGCAAGAATTAGTCATAAGTTACATTTGTCAGTGGTAAACAATTCCTAAATTAATGATTATAAGTTGAGTATTATACCTCTGTTGATGCAGCCTCAAATGGCTTTGTCTCTTTGGGCAGCTGCAGCACACTGTTGACATGCTAATTTGTAGTCAGGCAAGAGGCCCAGAACCTTCCACAAGTACTGTATTACTGTCAAGCCAGATATCACCTAACGTGTACCCGTGTATATATTTTTTCCTACTTGAGTGCAGAACCTTATATTTCTCACCAATAAATAGCATTTGTGTAGAGAACCCAGTATTCAAGTCTATCAAGTTCCTTTTGAATTTTGAATGTGTTTTCTGAAATATTAACAATAACACAGATGGAAAGAGAATTTTGGCTATGCCTTGCCAGGAAGCCAAGATCTTCTGACCATGAGATGAACATGGTGCATGTTCCCTCCTCATCCTGTTCCCCATTTCAAAACCCTAATTGAGCCTTGAGAAGTTTTTGAAGGTTCTAAAGTTAGTCCTTGAATTACAGCCTTTCGTTTAGTGACCATCTGAAGTTACAACAGCATTAATGATTGCAGTGATTGTCATTTGTGACCTTCCCAGCCAGCTTCTAAAAAGTAAAGTCAGTGGGGGGATTCATTTAATGACTGCATGATTCACTTAATGACTGCAGTGGCAAAAAAGTCATAGAATCAGGCATGACTCACTTAACAACCAATTTGCTTAGCAGTAGAAACTTTGGTTCTAATCATATCATATGTCGAGGACTGCTTGTACTGCTAACTAGTTAACTAAGCACAG